ATAACAACTATACTTAAGTTCTTTACAATAAAATTGCAGTTAGTTAAATTTTTTATTGTTTTACAATAAGAATAATGGTATACATGTATAATGAAGTATCTTCTATAGCAATTTTCATCCATTACAAATTGCTGTGGTTTACTTTTTATTATGTAGATACAAGTTTATCACGCATTCTCAATATCATTTACAGAATAGATAAAAACGCTTTCCACGCAGCATATTCGTCTTATTATGTGCTATATATTTTATCTAAAGCATCTGTTCCATCAAACATGTTCCGTTTTAATTAAATCAAAACAAAAAAGTGGTCAACTGTCATGATTTGGAAAAATATTTATCGCACAATAGTAAAAAATGAAACGTACGTGACTGTCTCTATAAGAAAAATGAACTTTAAATGTTTTCATGTTTCAATTGGTCTTTTATAAAACAATTGTTTGGTGTTTTTTGTATCTCACAATGCCTTAGCGTGAATTTAACAGTGGAACATACTGAAAACTATGATAAAAATGTAAACAAAATTGTTGTTTCTTCCTTTCCACTGATACATGCCTTTTGGAGTGTGCGTTTTTAAACAGTGAAGAAAATATTATTTAAAAAATAAGATCTTTCAAAGTTTGAAGTTTTCTGGCTGATAATTGGCCATATTGACAAAAATAATGTATTATAAAAGTGGTATATAAAGATGCCGTAATTGATGGATGATTTTCTGAGAAAATTAAAACGTAATTTTTGCCGCGAAACGTACGTTACTGATGCTACAGGAACTGATGAAAATGTAAAGAGGTAGACTTGTGTCAAGCAGTTAAAGCTTCCCTCAATTAGAAGTTATGTGTTGAGAAATTGTTATAATTGCTCAAGACTGTGTCCAGATCTGCATTGAAAAGTGGCCAGAAATGTACGTTACCGAAACGAACGTTACCGCAATTTAAAAAAATATTCACTACACTTAAAATATGATACCTTAAGTAAGAAAATTTATATGGAGAGAAGAGTTTTGTAACATCAAAGCCTAAATAAATATTGCATTGTGTCACTGTGGATATAATTTAAGGAAAATTCATGTTTGATATACGATATCACAATATATATTAGAAAACATTTTATTTATATAAGCATATACCTACTGAAAACATTCTGCTGGATTTTGAGATGTGATAGCATGTTTTTTTCGCAATGTAAACAAAAGGTAGTAGTGGAAAGTATATTTCTGCTTAAAAGTGCCATGAAATGTACGTTACTGTTGGTAACGTACATTTCAAAACTACTATTAGTAATTTCTATGAAGAGTATCTCCTGAATTCTTAAAAGTTACTTCATGAATATGTTTTTCATCTAATAACAAGTAAGAATAGGATGATTAGAAACGAAAACAAATTAAATATAATTGTATTTGCATCAGTTGCATATCAATTTTATTCAGGTATTTTTTCTATCTACAAAAGTTGGGATGCTAGTACAATATATGGTTGTTTAAGTTGAACAGTTGTGATGATATAGAACATTTTTAATCTTTTCTCTAGCATCTGCACAATCAAATGTGCATTGTGTATGAACTATAAAGGTCTACAAAACAATGATTTCTCACTTACATTAACATCAACAACAAGTAACGTACATTTCAATTGTAGTAACGTACATTTCAGAGACCGAAATTAAGGGCTGAGATTCAAAAAGGCTACAGGTAGAGAACAAGAGCTGGAAGATACCGAAAGTTATCTTTTGAAAGAGCGTTATTTTAGAATTACTTATTACAGAATCCGAAATATTTGACTAACAAAGCGAGAAATGAAAGAAACAATATTTTGTAAAACAAAAGCAAACAATGTTTTATATAAGCAATGTTTCGTATAAAGTAAATGATTTTTTTCCAGATTTTACCTTATTGTGTACAGAACACTGGAATATATCGTTAAGCAACAAAATAATCAAGTTAATGTGTCACACTTCTAAAGCATTTATTTTTACATGCATTTCACAAATGTGATTTTGGTAATCATAATGTCTTAAAACATGCGAATTTCTAATGAAAGATATTAACAGGACTTTCGATGAATCATCTTCAAATGTATGTTACTTGCAAAGTTGCACATAAAATTGAAGTTTGCGATAGTAAAACATGTTTTTATTATTTTTTATTTTTTTACATAAAAATGCAACAAATTTTATCAATTACACCATAATGGGGCTCAAAACATTTCTGGACATTGCTGTAAAATTATCCTCATAACAATGAATAACGTAGCATACAAGGATGATCACATGTGTTTTTAAATTATTTTATAAAGTAAAAATGTTTGTTGTTTTAAAGATTAGAAATAGAAACATTTTGTTTATAATGTTAAATATTAATTGGTGCATGTCTTTTTATATACAACACCCATGCCAGAAAACTGAAATGTACGTTACCAATGAGAGTTTACAACAGTATTTAATAAAGTTTTTAAGAAAGTCTTCAAAAATGCTAAAGATTGATATTTTAAAGCATTTTATTACACACGTATATTGTCATAAAGGGTTTAATATGCACATATAATGTTGTTTACATGTACTTATTACCTTATATGAACAGAATCATCAATTAAAATACATCTTATTTCTGTATGCATATACAATATCTTATTCTGACCAAGCGTTGATGATTTTTGTAGTTAATTGTTCAAATGTTTAGAAAAGGAATAAATACCAAACGGAAATATTTAAGTTTTCCCATTCCTGTCAGATTTTCTTAATGAGTTCACTGTTGATATTTTTTGTAATAAACTGAAATGTACGTTACAAAATTATCACATTACTTTTAAGGCATTTGGGGTGAAAAAACAACCGCTACATGCATGAATTAGTTTACAACGAGGAGTTTATATGTACCATAAACAAATAATAACATTGTAAAGCCGAACTGCTTTTCATTGATAAATCTGTAAAGAACTTCGAAGTCTGCATTGAAATAGTAAAATATGTATCATTCATCTGTAAAATTTGTTATTGTTTTAACATTTCAAAAACCTGAATATATTGGTATAATTTAACAAAAATGTGTTTATTTCCATCCTACATCTTTTGAGAAGGGAATTGTGAAAACAAAATTACTGACTACATGTATGTCAACAGTTACATGATTATGAGCTGCTAATTTAAAGTAACGTACATTTCTGTGCCTGTTTTTATAAGAATGACCTGCTCAATTTGATATGGAACTGAGAGAACATGGTTCGTATCTTGTTTGCAAAAATTCAAATTTATGTCCGGGAGATATTCTTTTTCAATATTCAAACATTATTTTTATGATCTCTGAACATTATTTTTTTCACTTTCCGTGATTCAATATTTGTAAATGGTATTGAGAATGCGTGATATATGTAATTTTTAAAGGCACATATCAACACTGCAAAACCAAATTCCGCCATCATGTCAAGCTGTACCTCTTTCAAATCCGTAACATATTCCTTAACATCCCGTTTTTAGTATATATCTTGACAAACTATTTGTATTGGAAACGAAGAAGATTACTCATTATTTTAATATATAAACGTATGATGCATTTGCAAACGTTGAAAAATTGTAACGAATGAACGGTATTAAAAGCAAACCCTAATATACAACAGGAAAATTGCTGATGGTATTTCTGTTTTTTATAAATAATTTTGAATTTTGTGCCTTATATTTCTTCAAACTTAAAATCATAAGAGATGGTTCATGGAATCTCATTTTTTTCATTCGAATTCAATATGTTTGGAAATATCTTTCGTCCATAACACGTCGTCTTTTTCCTTCTTGTTTCTGGTTTTGTAAATATATCAATTATTATTAGATGCACACAATGCACTTCTTGCAATCAACTTCCGTTTTAATTAGATAACATTGATATTCATATAATGTATTGTTCATCAGTATATCACTGTACATTTTTCGTCGAAGCGTGAGGAAAACTTGAATCACAAATAAGAGCCTGCCAGGGTTGTCAGGAATTTCCAACATTGGACTGTCAATGTGTTTATATAAAACATTATAGCATAAAATCGGCTATTTTTCCCTCTTTTGCCCATGTTATAACGGGACCAAAACCATGTGTTAACATAGTCACGCGCTCTTGTTATAGCCCGGTTTCACCTATGCGCAATACATACAGGGCCCAGTAAACAAACAAACAAAAAAATGACGATTTGGACTGTTTGCCAAAGAGTCATGCGCTCTTGTTATATTGAAATTTATTGATTCGAGGGCCTCAGTCGCATATTCAAGTAACTATGCCGGAAAAACAGCGTATAGACATCGGTGCTAATCTTGGTTGTCGCCCTTTCTAAGAAACGGACAGTTGTCAATGTAAACAAATTCAGTAGAATCTACCTGTCATTCAGTTTAACACTCCGGTTAACTTACAAAACTAGATAACACAAAATTAATATGAGAAAATGTTTTTTATTTATGTTAATGTTAATAAATGCCCTTTATATTTCTTTGAGAGAATAATGCTTAGTGCCTGATTTTTTTATAAACTTGTTTGCTTGAAAAAAAAAACCGATTCTGATGTCACTGATCCTTTTTCTACCGTCAATCTGAAATCATTCTAAGAATTTCTGAGGGTCATGTTTTGTCTTGGGTAGAGGGTAGAGTAATGTAACGTTTTTTTTCTTGAGATAATAAATCTCCAAAGGCCAAGCTTTGTTAAATCAATTAAAAATTTCGTTCGGTTCCGAGAATTTTCCAAGTTGTTTGGCCCCGGAAAAATGAAACGCATACGTAAAACATAGAATTGGATAAATACCGTCCAAGCACAAGAATTTTATGTAATTGTGTTTTGTATAAACTAAACATCACGGATCTGTTTGAAAATTTTATGCTATAATAGCGTCAACGCACGTTTTTCCGTGGTATAAAGTCTGCAGAGTCCCTCGGAACTGTTGGAGCCCTCGCCCTACCGGGCTCGGGCACCAACCGTTCCTCGGAACTCTGCAGACGTTATAACACGGAAAAACGTGCGTTAACCCTATATTAAATCATTTATGAGTATGCAAAATATGAATGATTTGAATAAGTCCTGGATGGCATCTGGCAGCAATAGGTTGCTTTATAAACACTTCAAAATGGCTATGGATTGGGAGAATAACGAAAGCAGCAAAACAAAGGTCACCCGGGACCGAAAGTAACTTCATCTTCTTCTAACGTGTCTTCATCAGATTGCTCATTGTCACAAGGTTGAACACTTCCAAGCATAACTCTGATGGTTTCTAAATCAGTTGGTTCAACGAGATCAAGAGGTCTTTCACCTTCTTCTGTCAATATATTCTTGTCAGCGCCTTTCTCTAACAAAAATCTGAAAATATCATGGACAATATCATCTACACAATTTACGCATTTTCACTCTGGTAATTGTAACAATATCATACCTTTGCCTCATGTACAAAGCTCTGCCAGTACGTGGTGCATTATTTGACTCTGTACTGTCAAACGATATTTAAGTGATTTGAAATTGAAATACTTAACAATGAAAAGTTCCAATAACAAAAAGGCACATGTCAGTTACACGAATTTTTTTGTGTTATTGTTAATTTTTCATAGAGATTAATTTGTCTCTTATTACTTTTTTATAATAGTCTCTCATTACTTTTTTATAATAAATGTTTGATTAGATTTTAGTCTTTTTCGCTCCAATTTTGCATTGTAGATGTTACGATTATGTTAGAATTTTGAGAATGAAATGAGCTTTCCCTTTTGACCTTTTTTATTCTTTGCCGCATATTACAAATAATGTCAAAGGTGAAACTTAATTGTTAACGTCCTAATTTTTTGACAATATGTTAATCAATTTACTTGACAATATCAGCATGTCCTTCGGCACACGCGGCATGTAGCGGTGTCCAGGAATCATCGTCTTGTTTGTTAATATCTGCACCATGAGCTACCAGAAGTCTTACAGCGCTTTCATTGCCGTCTAGCACCGCTTGATGTAAAGGCGTCAACCCTAAAATATCAACTTTTTTTTAAATTGCGATAACATTCATCCGATTAGATCGAATGAGCTACTTTAATATATCTTAAACGCGTCATAAAATTTAAGGATACACTCGTTTTATCTAAGATACTTTAGAATTATCATTACTTTATTCTAACGGTGGTTTACAAATTAAACTTAAAAATTTGAATTATGCTAAAGTAAGTGATAGGAGGTTTGAACTCTTACTCCAGGTTCACTCAAACCAAGTCTGTTACATTTTCGATGTTGTCGTTTTTGTGTAATTTAATCATATTCTATTTTATACAATATTTATAATTCTAACACGACCCGCATTTTTCCCTATTAAACATAGAAGGACAGAAAGTGTGTGCTGTTTAAGAAATAAAATATCCCAAACAGTGATTTAATCGCTAAATTAAATCACTGTTAGGAGTTCGGATGGGCGTAGCATTTATTTGTTGATAATGTGTTAGAATCGAAATAATATATCAAAATCAGTGATTTTATCGCTTGATAATATCACTGTTTGTCGTTGAAATGCGCATCATTATATTACTTTGGCTACGTCCTCGTTATATAATTCCTCGCATCCGAACTACAAACTGTGATTTTATATAGAGTTAAAATCACTGTTTGTGATATATAATCTCTTAAATTACTTTACTTACAACAGCTTTACTTTAGTGAGTTTACTTAGAAAGTAGTTTGATTAATTGTCATCTTACCAACATCATTAATTCCACTTATGTCAACTTGTAAGCTGGCTCTCCGTAACATGTGACCTAACGCATTTATGTCATTTTCTTTAATATTGTCCAAAAATACTAACTCATCCGGAAACCGTACACCTTTCTTTTTAACTTCGGGATTCTCTTTAGCAAATAAGCTTGCTCTTCTGCTCATTGTTAATGTAACACTAGTCTGGTATTCGAAAAATGAAACTATTTTATACGTCTAAAGGTTACAACAGGAAATGTTACACAAAGTTTTGTTTTGTTCATTAAGCCTAATAGCCTATCCGTGAGTACGTAATTGGTGACATTTATTAAAATTGAACTATAGTTTTTCACAATAACTATGAATGTAAATCACATTATATTGTAATTCCATGAAAAGCACTAATTTCAAAACGAACCCTTGCTCTTATCTGATAATTATCTCCTGTACTGAAGTCTTGAAGTAAATAAATTTTACATTGTGCATCCTTTCTAGTAGATCCAATAGTTCATGTTTTTTATCTGATATTATTAGATCATACTCTTTCACAAAGTATAAACAAATCTAACTCTGTATATATTTCATATTCCATGTGTACGATTTATATCTGCATCTCACAACAGTTACGGTAACAAAAATATCCAATACCCGTTTGTAAAACAGAAGAGTTCATAGATTTCAAACCGGCTTTACATTTTGTTCTTCCAACATATACCTCGTTCGCTGTTATTTCTTCTCTCACAGAGTGTGGTAATTGTGTTAATGGTAATTCAGGAGGGTTCAATCAAAACGCTTGTGAATTGTTCTGTCTTATGTTCTGTTTATCGGTGATGGAAAACAACATTATAGCTGTTTTATGCGCTCATAAAGAATGGTTAAGTTAATATACCCCGAAACATGTGTTGCCTGTTGTATGTAGAATGTTATGATATTAATAATTCGTTATCCAATTTTCTCTCTGTCTCCTGAAAATAAATTGCGAAAATGTACTGTTATACCGTTACGTTGATTTGATGTTGTGGTCTGCACACATAGAAAGGTCATATTGTGAAAGGAAATTTCTGAGGGGGAAATCCACCATATATTTCATTAGCAATTACTAAATCAAAAATCAACATAAATTTGTCCCAATCCAAATAAAAAACAAAATAATTGACTTTTAATGGAAACTAAATTGGCTTTGTATAATTGTTAAAAGTTTTGACTTAGCGCATGATCTTTTAACTCGCTTTGGAAACGTTACAAATCACGCCTGGTGAAACCTTTACATAAAGGTTTAATATTTTCCAGATTTTTTAATATATTCTCTTATAATTTGTACTATCAACGGAACATGTGGTTTTTGATTATGTTAATTACAATATAATACAAAACACACACGTTTAAGCATTCATAATACAAAATATACATTTATATAAAATATTTGGGTTTTCTGCATCTTATAAAAACGTTTATTGCTTGAATAAAAATATGTTTAAACACAAACGTGTAAATCAGACTCAAATTGTTTTAGCATTCAGCATATTATAAATTAAGATTAGTGTTAATAAAACAGGAATGGGATTCTCTTAAGAAGTAAAGAACGGGAAATTTACCTGCTTAATATTAATGGCTGTTTGTCTTTGAGTCCAAGTAATGAATTACGAAAATAAAGTAAAACATTTATATGAATTCTTAAAGAGTAATATACGACCTACCTGTTATGTTTTAGGTTGTTCGGCTCCTGCTTTTTTGCTTTAATCACATCTATTCTAGATCCTTTAGATATGTTAACAGAGTAAACAATTAAACATGTGTTCACAAATCGGAGTACATGTTCTTCAGATGTCTAGAGAGATATTTCTTTACATGAAAAGCAGCTGTGTTGTGTAAAGATTAAACTCTTGAATATGAATGAGAGGGTTTTTTACTGCCTGTTCTAGTAACATTTGTTTCAGTGTGTTTTGGGGACATTTGAGTATATTTGTTGTTGTTTTTAACATGTACTGTATTATTTTAAAAATCTGAATAAACTGTATTGTTTATTGCATTTATAAGTACATGTAATAAGTATAAAGATTGAATATTCTAAAATTATGCGAGTATATGGCAGCTTCATTTGATAATAATTTAATATGAAAAATCGGTTATAGTGGAGAATTATCTTTGACAGGACTATATATATGAAAAACCAATTATTATAAAACTGATGTTCAATATAAATGTCTAGAAGGGTAGAAGAATGTAGCGTAAATAATTTTTCCTCTAATGATACAAAATTAATATCAAGTTTTATTGCTTAAAAATACAATATTACTACAATATGTAATATATATGTAATTGTTTTGTTTTGGTTTTTTGATATATGTAAAGGTATTTTAGCTCGCCTGGGAACTTTTTGGTCTCATAACTAGCATTTGTGACCGCCTGGACCCGGTTCCTCAAAAATGGTTAAAATTACACCCTATGATGTCCCTAGTCCATGTGTCAACAGTCATATGCCTGTATGTCGGAATTTGAACCAAATTCCAAGCAGCCTAGCTGGTACAGTCATGTAATATACATGTAGTTACCAAGTTATGGCCCTTGAAAGGAAAACGTATGCATATCTTGTCTTGCCTTGTCTTGTCTTGTTTGCAATATAATAGTTTAATTTTGATTTGATTAATATCAAACATGCACTAAACGTATGCAGTTTCGTCCTTCAAACAAAATTATAGTAATCCTTGGCCAACAATATATCTTACTTGCTTTCTCGGTCATAGTTATAGCCCCTTGAAAGACAAGACTATGCATACTTTCCCTGAACTGCAAAGTTTATTAAGATAATGATAAAACATTGTCAATCTTCAATATGGTCACTTTATATAAAGTCTCGAATAATAAGAAAGTTTTGAACACTTCTTGTCAGAAAGCAGTCTGCCTAAAATACGTTTTGTGCAGCATTGTTTAGAGGAGCTTAACCAAAGTTAGTTCAAAGTATGTTCCTGTAGTCAAAAATAGCCCATGTCTCAGTAGCAGCTAAAGGGATCACTATCGTTACCACATACACAAAACACAATACGGTGACCGGAAGTTAAACATTCGATCGATGCTTAGAAGAGTATCCCATAGTATAACATTTTCTTGTCAAGAACATAAGGTTATAAATTTTAGGTGTAATCAAAGCATTTTAGTATTTAGTTCGGCACTGCACTGGATGTCATTTGATTTTATAGAGACTAAAAAGAGCTTTTACAATCTTCTTGTTAAAACATCAAGACCTAATGTATATAGATATTTGATCTGTGATATGTCACTAAGTCTCTCAGGGATCAAAATCGGACTTTCCATTGCTAAAATGACAGCACCGTAGCCACACTGAGGCAACCCGGGGCAGTTGCCTCGGTTAAAATTTGAGAAGTTAATAAAAATACTGATAGAAAAATCAGTCTTGGAAAAAAAGCATCCAAAATGGACTCGATCATCTATGAAGGATGCTAAATTAAATGGCCTAACTTTGATAATCATAAACAAATGTCACTTGACTATAATGAGATTTTAAAGTTATGGGATTTTCCTGGAAACAGATGAATTGTCTTGGCCTTTTCATGAAACTGTGAACCTGACTTCCCTGAATTAAAAGATACATTAAATAAAATGCATTTCAAATCTTGTAAAGAACATAAATTGTTCTTGTTTACCAAATTATAAATGTAAAATTAACTAAAATGGTATCAAGATGATTAGATTCAGAATGACTAAAAGCTTGTCCCAGAGTGCTGCAAAACGCATTAGATATATTCTAGGTAAAACAATTTCCAGGGGAGCATGCCCCCATACACATACCCCCTATTTTTGCCTCGGTCAAAAAAACAGGTCTGGCGACGCCATTGAATGAATACTTTTGGTCACTAAAACTTCAACAGAAGAACAATTTGGTAAGTCAAGTAATAATACCACTTACATCTTTGGTCTGGAGCAACCGACAGTCAAAGCTGGGATTCGTCGCACCCGAACTAACATTTTGTGACGCTTCTAACAACCTAAAGACGATAATTTCTAACCACATTTGTCTACGTTATATTATATTTTATATTATATGTTATTTTGGTTTTGGAGTGATATATGTGGATATATTACCTGTTAAGATTTTATATCACCCGAGCCGTTAGGCGAGGGTGATATTTTATCTTGGCAGGTAATATATCCACATATATCACTCCAAAACCAAAATAATAATTTTATTACCCTTCCCCTGCCGAGTTTAGACGATTTTTTTTAAAAATCATTGCTGTTTCAAATGAAACGTCGAAATAAGATTCCCTTTAGGATACCTCTTCGTCACAACATGACGTCACATAAATACATGACGTATTTTTCCCATACCTTACGAAAGTAAACAAGAGAAAAGGAGTAGTCTGTTGAACGCACTTTTTTGTAATTGATATCAAGCTTTCACAAGGTCATATTTGTTTTCGATACTGATGGTTATATGTATCATTACTCTACTTTGGTAAATATTTATCATTTGACAGTTAAAAGGTGCTTTTAAATCGGAATTTACACCGCGTAAAATCGAACCGTACGCGCATCACCTCAGCCCATATTGTTTACAACGTTGGGTACCAAACGGGGAAATTTAGTTTGTATATTACCCGTCTGGCTCGGTTATATCAATTTCTTTCGGGTGATCAATATCCAATCAAAAAGGCGGAAAAAATCGGGAAGGGTAATAAACTATTTTATATATAACAACTAAGAAATAACTGAGACATAAGCAGATATTATTCCTGTAAAGTTACTTTTCAAATAACCTGTAGAACAGAATAGTTGAATAACATTTACAGGAATTCTTTTTTTTTTACTTCAGCTGCATTTCGATCACTGAACTCTCAACGAGAATGCACAAATATATATAAGATGAATGTATATTATACAAATATTTTGATACTCGTAAATTACCTCTCTGCATACTCTCAGCTGTTGAGATGTAATAATGTTCCCGATGACAAAACACAAATTTATATCATCTAATTACTTCTAGACAGCGAACGATATTATGCAATTAATTGAGGGAAAGAAACATAAATCAAATTAGGAAAGTAGCTCGAAATACTATAAGTGGTTAATGAAATAGCTAATACTTTGCTAAGAAGTATGTATGGTGATTAAACTAGTGATAAATCTTTATGTTTACTTTTTAATTACTGAAAAAAACGTAAAACTACGTTTTGTCTAAAACTTTGCAGAATTGGCAGAAGTTTCCTACATAAAATCTATTACGGCGTCCAAACACTTTTGTATATCACATATTATACGTTTTTAATATATCTTTGATTCCTTCAAGAATCAATATTCAGTTATCTTAGGAAAAAAAGAGGGTAAAGAAATGGAACTAGATTAAACTATAATTCTGACAATTTAGAACAAAAAAAAGACGCCAAGAATTGTTCCTGATATTAGATTTGATATGATTGGCGACAAGTTAGATTTGGTTATTATATATTCTTATATGTCTGGCTTCATTGCATAAGACTCTTCTGTAGAGGGTTAAGCTATGGAGAATTAATGTAATTTTGTGCTAGAAAAATGACTGTTACACGCGGCTTTAATAATATCATTCTGTATGAGCACAAGGTCTTACAGAATAAAAACATAACTTAATTTAGTAAGTACATTTTCGGGTTCATGTTTGGGTAACTCGATATGACACTTTCATTAAGATAAGTCAAAAGGGGTTTGATTATTATTTCAAACCGAAGATTGTGCTTAAAAATCCCATTGCTTTTGGGAAATCTATTACATTTAGAAATATCTCAAGTATATACTTGCTCATTTAATCGTTAATAAAAGTATAGCTGTAGATAAAGCTTTAAAATAGTTTAATATATATATACGTAAAATGCACGGAAACATACATTTTTTCAGTTATTTTCCTAAATGTTTATTTTGAAATTCGCATCGGATTTTACTTTTTAAATAATGAATTCCTTTTGGTAAAAAAAAAATCTATTTGACTTGATGAAATCATATATTGACACACATTCAACGGTAATATTTCCGTCTTTATGATAGATTTTCGACATTATTCAAAAAGTTAAAGACTCGTTAAGTAACAAAATATGCCAAAACTATTGCCAATTAACGACTCAAACTATTTTTAACTGTTTATCCTAATTGATGAATTAACTAAGATATTCAGGGGAGCGGTGGCCTAGTGGTTAACGTGTCTGCCACTCTTCATTGGTTCGAGTCCCACTCGGGTCACGACCATGTTTCTTCATTTGCAGTACTGGTTGCTTCCAGGAAGCGGACTCGAAAGTGGAAGAATTTGTTTCGCAATCGAGCTTAAGATAAATATGTTTAAACTAAACTAAGATGTTCGAAAAAGTTTTTATATCAATGATGTCCAGATCTAATTTTATGAAGTTCAATTTCTTATATGTGTAGATTAAGTCATTTCACAAAATAATTCCATTGAATTTCACTTTGATGACGCACGTCAAATCAATGTAATTTTATAATTATCTCTTTTACTGCAATAATTAGAAATAATGTTCTTGCTTATCAGACTGGTGATTCCATTAGTATTACCCATGCTAGAAATTTCATGTCAGCTGAGTCACTTGCTCCAACATGACGTCTTTTTGACGCATTTTAGAATAAACATGACTTGTGTTAATAAGATGATGTCATTTCGCCATTATTAATGAAGTTGTTAATTCAGTTGTTAATATTATTGTAAAAAAAGATAGTTACGGATGAAATGACATTTATAATTAATTGATTTACCATTGAAAATAATGGTACAATATATGATAGAATTGGAAAAAATATCTGACATTTGGGAGGCAAGTATCGTTACAACTCAATTGGCGGGCACCCGCGGGACTAATAAATATTCCGATCCGAACCTCAACATATGACAGATAGTATT